AAACCATAGATTTGTACTGGGTTCTGTGCCGCACAGCCAGCCAATGCTCTCCAGCGGCGCTGCTCTTCAGTAAGAGGTGTCCAAAGGGGTCCTTCCCAGGTCCAAGGCGTCCCCATTCATCCCTCTGTGGTGTTCAGTAGCTGAGGAACGTTCTTCCAACATCTGAAAAGGGGCCGTTGCAACTGAGTTGCAGTTGCATTAGCTTTGGAAGATCTGAACTCTGGATCAAAAACATTACAAACTGTATCAAACTGTACAACACATCTAGACTCTAGACCACTTCAAGACTCCGGGTACACGATGGGGAGTGCCTAACAGGACAAGGGTGAAAATATACAAATTTCTGCATTGTAGAGCGCGCACATGAAAGCACAGGTGTGAGAGAGCACACATACGACATATGAGAGCACACATAAAAGAGCAAACTCATGATTGCACACATATGAGAGCATAAACATGACAGCAAACATATGAGAGCACACGCATAAACATGAGAGCACACACGTGAGAACACACCGTCGTTGAGAACGCGCATATGAGAACACACGCGCAAATTTCATTGGGGTTCACAGAAAGCTGCACCTGCCACGGCAAGGTTCACAAAGCGCTACCTGCCCCAAAATTTGCACTCGGGTTCACACAGTGCCGCAGCTGCCATGAAGTCGGCATTTCGACGGCTACAAGGTGCTGCAAAATTTGCGCATGGATGTTCACAAGCAGGGCGGCACACGCCGCGAAATCTGGGCTTCATGACTCACATCGTGCAGCCCTGGCAATGTGTTTTGCAACAATTTAAAACTAGACGACGAGTGGCCCGAAAGCATTTTTCATCACGTAGGAAGTCAGAGTGTGAGTTATCTGTTAAGTGTTCAGTGTGAAGTGTTAAGTCGAGTGAGTTGAGGCAGTGTGGGTCTCTGTGTGTGTGTATCTATGTCTGTGTGTGTATGAGTCTCTGTCTGTGTGTGTGTGTGTCTCCGAGTAAGTTGAGGCAGTGCGTGGGTCTCTGTGTGTGTGTGTCAACCTTTTAAGAGAGCCGGGTGGTCGGGAGACATGACTCAGCTGCAGGGGCGCCAGAGCAGCTGCGAGAGATGACTCAGCCCAGCCGCGAGAGATGACTCATCCGCGTACTAAAGTTGTACTGCAAAGTCACCAGTTCTCAGCTTCCAGCTCCACAGATTGCTCCCCGTACTAAAGTTGTACTACAAAGTCGCCAGTTCTCATCTTCCAGCTC